GGTGTGGGGCCGGGTGTTGAGTTGGACGAGCCCCTGGTGTGACTGGTTGTAGGGCTCGGGTGTAAGTGTGATGAGCCCCTGGTGTGACTGGCTGGTGGCGGGGCTCAGGCAGAGTGTGTTTTAAAACTGCCATGCAGTGCTCCATGGGCATTAAAATGGCTCGTGCCCAGCCAGCTCTTTCCTTAACTGCTGTCCCCGAGGAGAGAGTGGAAGCTTGGATCGCCTGAGTCTTGGTTACTCCTCTGTCAAGGGCTGTTCTCCTTAAAAACTGTGTTGGAAGTCGTGTAACTGGTAAACGGCCCTGGTTTTCAAACGGAATATGCTCTGAATCCCATGCCTGTTGTCGCTGCTGACACTCTTGTTACTGAAAGGGAACCACGTTCATGGCTTTGGAAGGTCTAGTCTGACCTGAGGGTGAGGTGGGCGAGCTCGTGGTCGGGGCCTGAGACTTCTGGTGGTAGATAACCGATGTCTCCAGGCTAGAAGTGAGCTTCGTCTACAGAATGTGTGAGCTTTACTGAACATTTCCTCCTTCCCGAAAGATGTAGCATCTCCAAATTTGGAAGTGAACGTGTGAAGGAGGAGACGTTACTGTGTGCGTATTTCCTCAGCATCCGGTTGGGAGCGTCACGCCGTTTCAAAGGCAGTTGTGTGTCATGGAGTCAGTGAGCCTGGGGCCCTGCACCCTAAAGTCACTCCTGCGCAGTAATGAGAATTCCTCTCTGCCAGCAAGGAAGGGGGTTTGTTGTCATTTTCCAGATAGGTTTTTGCCACAGGGCACATGCGCTCATCAGAAAGACAGAGAGAGACAGAGAGAAAGCAAGAAATCACCCCCCAGGGGGGATGGTCACGCTGCAATCCCTTCTCCTCCATTCTCCTCTCGGGATCTTGGGCACGCACGCACACGTGCTCAGTGTAAGTTTAAGCCACCGGGTCCGGGACTTGAACCGCAGTCGACTATGTGGAAGTCCAGTGACATAGCCATTACGCTAACTGCTGGTTCCAAAGAAGGGGTTTTAGTCATGTCTTTCCATCGGTCCTTTCTTCCTTGTTTTTGGGGAACTCTCTGATCACTTGAAGGACTGAATTTTGAATTTTTCTCTTGAAGGAATTCTTGCCAATCTTCTGCCTAAGAAATACCAGGGAGTTACGGAATAGTTGATAACTGTTTATTTATCCAGGGCCACTTTTGCTGTTAGCTTTTTTTTGGGGGGGGGAGGGGTTTTTTGCTATAGGGCGCGTGCGCTCGCCAGACAGAGAGAGAGACATAGAGACAAAGTGAGAAATCACCCCCCAAGGGGGATGGTCACGCCACAATCCCTTCTCCTCCATTCTCCTCTTGGGATCTTGGGCACGCACGCACACGCGCCCGGTGTGAGTTTTAAGCCACCAGGTCCAGGACGCGAACCGCGGTCGACTACGTGGGAGTCCAGCGACATAGCCATTACGCTACCTGCTGGTTCCCACACAAGTTAGCTTTACTAGATAAACAATGCCACTTTATTGTCTTAATAAGTTTTTTCTGTGGAATAATTCTATGTCACAGTCAGTTTTGGTGTACACTGTATGGGTCTGGGCAGAGTCGGGCGACAGGTGCCCCGTGTCGGCGCAGTTGCCCTGTCCGAGAACTCACTGCGCTTCGCCTGCTCAGCCCTCCCCCTCCTGCTTCTGGCAAGCACTCATCTTCCTACTGTCTGCATGGATTTGCCTTTTCCAGAATGTTACGTAGTCAGAATTAAGATAAAAAAAAAAATTCATGGCACTTGTTTAAAACAGTAAGGCAGGACCAGCTGGTGGCGCAGGGCTTAAGGCGGCCAGATCTCACAGGACTGACCCTGCAACCTGAGCCCAGCCTTGGTGACTTGAAAACCATCCCGAGCCCGTGTGCCTGCGTTCCCAAAATCCCGAGAGGAGAATGGAGGAGAAGGGACTGTTGTGTGGCCATCCCCCCTGGAAGGGTGCTGCCTCTCTCTCTCTCTATGTCTTTCTCCAGTGACCTCACATGTTCTACAGCCAATTTAAAAAAAAAAAAAAAAAGGGAAGGCAGGCTCTATTCAGGGGACTGCAGCAGTGGGGTTTTGTAGTAGGGGAGAGAGATGGGCTCAACTCTAAACGTATTCAGGCACGTGGGCATCTACAGCCGGTCAGGGTGGGAGTAATCGATGGGAAATCACTGGGGGAAGCAGGGGTGAGGGAGAAGAGGAGTCGCCGCAGGTAGGTCAGGGCGATCAGACACCTCCTCGGGGACCGTGGAGGATGAGGAACGTGGTGGCCTGTCTTAAACTTGGACGATGCGAAGACTGGTGTGTCAGTAGGGGAGTTGGGGCCTGGCCTAAGCTGGCGCAGGAGAGCCCTTGTCCGAAGTGCACAGTAGGGAGCCCCTCCCGTTGGCTCCTTTGACCTCGTAACACACACGTACGGCTCCTCCCCGTGTTTTCAGAGATAAGTGGCTGGCTTCACTTTGCGCATGGCACTAGTCCATTGTCTGGGCGTGCCACCGTTTACTCTGCCGTCCACCTGCCGGAGGACATCTCGGTGGTTCCCGGTTTTGTCGGTTGCAAATAAAGGTGCGGTAACTTACAGCCGTGAGGTTGCTAGGACAGTTTCATGCTCACAGAAAGGCTGCCAGGGTGACGCAGAGCATCCCCGTGGGCCTCAAGCAGGTCTCCCCTAGTTGAGCATCTCACAGGGGAGAGTAGCACCCTTCTGCTGTGTCGTCCCAGCTAAGTGGGTGACGTTGGTACCTTCCCCTTAGCTAGCGTTCTTCACCTCGCACAGGTGTCTCCTCATTCCCCGCTCTCTTTCCGATCCCATCCAGGTAGTATATTGCACGAGGCCGACGTTTTCCGTTTCAGTGTGTGGCAGTGGTTTGGGTGTGTTGCATTTATTAGATACGTTCATACCACGGCATATCCTGAGAAAATGGGTGTGATCAGCTCTCAAAGGAGCTGAGGCTGCGTAAGCAAATGAACAGCTCATTACGAGATCCTTACTTAGGATTTTCGCCCAGGAGACTTCTGTCCGGGGTCGAGCATGCGCAACGCCCGGTGTCTCAGGAGCAGCCCCGGGGGTGGTGGTGGTGGTGGTGGTTGATTAGGTTCTAAGACACTAGAGCTTGTTGCCGAAGGGCGCTGTAAGCTGGAGCGTTTCGGGACTCAGGAGAAAGCCCCCGGCAGAGTTGTGGCAAAGGCTGTCAGCGCCTGACGTGTGGCGTCGGCGGTCCCTAACGAGCGTCTCCTAATGTTTTGGCAGCAGCAGGACTCCATGAAAGATGACAGAGGAGGTCATCGTGATAGCCAAGTGGGACTACACCGCCCAGCAGGACCAGGAGCTGGACATCAAGAAGAACGAGCGCCTGTGGCTGCTGGACGACTCCAGGACATGGTGGCGGGTGCGCAACGCGGCCAACAGGACGGGCTACGTGCCGTCCAACTACGTGGAGCGCAAGAACAGCCTGAAGAAGGGCTCCCTCGTGAGGAACCTCAAGGACACGCTGGGTGAGTTGCCTGCACCACACGCAGGGACCGGGCTGTGGCCGAGGCACTTTCAGTGCGGGGAGACAGGAAGCCGGGTGCATCGCCCAGAGAGGGCGTTCATTTCTCCAGTTCGTTTCCTTCTCTAAGTTGTTTGTTTTAACTGCTAATAGCTTCCTAGTTGCTTTAATATCTGAGCATTAAGAGATCAAGATGGTGGGCCAGTCTCATGGCCCAGTGGTTGAGGAGCTGGATCCCACCTGGTGACCTCTGTGGGAGTCTCAGTTCTGCAGCATGTGTGCATACGTGCCCCAAACCCCAAGAGGGTGGAGAAATGGAAGAGAGGGGATTGCGGCACGACCACTCCCCACTGGGCAGTGCTTTCTTCCTCTCCCTCTGTGGCGAGCGCATGTCCCCCCCAGCAGTTAGAGCGAAGGAAGGAAAGAGGGCAACATGGAGAAGTACGGCATGTTCAGGATGTGGAGTCGTACGTCCCGTGACTTGTCTACTCGGACCCCTGCACAGGTGTGGGTCTTCTGCATCAGAATTCTAGGGATCTTGCAGTGGGACTGCCCCTCCCAAAGTGTGCAAGGGCCTGGCTGAGCCACTGATTGCATAGAGGAGACAGTCAAACACCTGCGGCCCCTCTGAAGTCGATGCCTTTCACACCTAGGCCTGGGCACTGGCAGCTAAGGGGGCAGCTGGGTGACACTCGGGGCTGCCTGGAGTCACGCAGGTAGTCTGCAGGGAGCTCAGTTGTGTCACTGCCTGGCCTGGCTTCCTGTTCTCCTGTCTTTTCTGCCCTGTCGGACATGGAGGGGCCGCCCTGGGCTCCTGTGGTGTCCATTCTTACCTTGTGTGTTGGACTTCCTGCCACGGTTACTGCTTCAGGCGACTGGAGAAAATAACCGTGGGGGCTTTTCTGAAGACCGCCTGATCGGAGGGGACCTTGTGAACATGACTGGCCGCCTCATAGGAGTATCGTGTTTGTTCCCAGGACTGCTGGCGGACGCTTGAGGGTCTGCTGTTGAAACGGGTCCCTGTCATTGCCTCTGCTACCCTTACTTGGGTTTTCTCTCTCATTTCTAACGGGAGGATTTGCTCCATGGTGGGCGAGGGAGCGGAGGTGAGAAATGCCCAGGAAAACTGCGAAGGAAATTATATGGCAGCTGTGGGTGGTGTGAAGTGATCGTCTTTCATTTTACGCATACTCGGCGCCTCAGCTCTCTCCTCCTCACAGTCCTGGAAAGCCTGCATTTATTGGGTGGTACTTTTGTGTTAGGAACTGGGGTTTTTCCATGATTTGGAGAGAGAAATGAGAAGTAGAACTTCAGAGTGACGCACACCAGCTCACCGGCCAGCCTCGATGCTGAGCCCAGGGTGTACATTTCATTAGCAGTCTGGGTCTTTTTCCACCACACTGTCTCCCCTCCCCTGCCTTTTTTGCATAAGCATGTCACGTGAAACACAGTTGTCCCCTGCTTCTAACTCTTCATTCACTGAGCTAAAGAAATGACAGTAGCGTGAGTGAATACTTCAAGATTGCCCTGAACTTAATTTTATTTATTTATCTTTTCCAATTTCAGCCTCTCACTGAAAAGGACCTTTTTAGTGCTGTTAAACACTGTGGACTTGTCTTCCTTTTTGACCCCTGCCTTTTTAAAAATACAGATTCTCAAGGTTCTAGAAATGTCCAGAAATTGGCAGAGGGAGAATAAGACAAAACAAGGACTCTGGGTCTAGAAAGTCCCTCAAATAACTCGTCATTTTCCCTCCTCATCTCCATGAAGGAGAATAGAGGAAGCATCAGATTGAGACCGGGACCTGTCTCTTCCATCCCAGGCGTTGAACTTTCTCGTGAGCTGGGGTCGCTCGGAGCATTTGAGCATTTGTGCTCTCTGGGCTCTCAGCCCCTCCTGGTGCTGGACCTGCCGCCCCATCCCCGACAGATGGCCACCCAGCTCTGCCGGGACACTCAGACTTCCACAGACAGCCAACTCCATTTTTGGAGAACACAGATTGTTAGAAAGCTCTTCCTTAAATAGAATCAGATTTTTGCATGTCTTTAACTTCCTTCCCTGGCTCTCGTTTTGCTCTTGGGCTGCACTCAGTACATCTCATCCTCTTTTGCAGAGTGATAGCTCTCCTGTCGGCTCCAGGCTCAGGGCAGGCACAGAGTTCTTTGGAAACATTTATATTTATTTAACATTATACGAGGAGCCTTCAAAAAGTGCATGGAAAATATGAATTAGGAAAAAGCCGAGCATGGGTTTTCAAATTGTTTGCACCAAAATAAACTTGAACCTTTTTAAAAATCATTAGGTTTTTGCTCTAGGGTGTGTATGTTCACCAGAGAGGGACAAAGTCTGGAAAGTGAGAAATCACTTCCCTCCAGGGGAATGGCCATGTTGCCGTCCCTTCTCCATTCTTCTCCTGGGATTTCCGGCATATGCATACGCACATCCCCGGCGTGATTTTCAAGCCACCGGGTTCAGGCCTCGAACTGCAATCAGCTCTATGGGAGTCCAGCAGCTTAACTACCACGCCACCTGCTGGCCCCACCTTTTTATTTTTTTAAATTGTCAGAGGGCATGTGTAGGAGACAGAGAGAGAAAGCACCCCCAAATGGGGCGTGGTCATGTGCAGTCCCTTCTTCCTGTCTCCCTCTTGTCGGGATTTGGGGCACACAGGCACATGCCCCTGGGATGCTCTCCAGCACTGGGGCTGGGATCAGACCACAGTCAGCCGTGTGCACGAGGCTACAGGGCTGGCCTATGAACTTGATTGATTTTCCAGGAATTTTTTTTGTCATCCCTTCGTATATTGTAAGATATGGATTAAGTTATATTTCGAGCATCGTATTTACCAGCAGCAGGTAATGGAAGGATGAGGAGGAAGAGGTGTCCTGGGTTTTAGTACCCCGTTTCATCTCGGTGTGTTTATCGTGCTCACCTGAAGGCTTGTTTTTGTGGGACCAGGTGAGCCCTTCTTACTGCCGCATGAACTTTCTGTTGCCCTGTAAGCAGTTTTGGTAGAAAGGGAGGCAACCCCAACAAGAAGTTGCCCTCTGAGTGCTTTCTTCCTCCATAGCTAACGTGCACACAGAGCAGGGAGACACAGCACCCTTAGGAGGGAGGGGAGAACTTCAGTAGCCCCCTTTGCCTCACACTCATGACTTTAGCCAAAAACGATTAGAACAGAGTGTTTGTGGCTTCCTGCTTTATTGGTTGATGGATTGATAGCTTCACGAGAGAGGGAAATGGAGGGACAGGGAGGCACATAGCCCCAATAGAGTCTTCACACTGTGATCCGGCCCCAGCCTCAGCCAGGCAGGACCACAGTCCCGGGCTTGCACCTGGCAGGTACAGAGAGACCTGAACATGAACCAGTACCTTCCCATGTGGCACCAGCACCCCAAAGCTTTGGATCATGCTGCGCCCCCATGGCTGGCCTTCCTGCCCCCTGCTCCACACGGTCAGCGGCATGCAGGCAGAATCACAGTGCAGAAGACCAGCTGTGCAGCGGCAGAAATGGTCTCTCTGTATTGGAGCAGGTGAGAGCACTGAAAGCCACCTTGTGCACGTTGATCTTCCAGAAACTGCTCATGGTATACCATCTGCAGTTGTAATTCCTACTGCAGCGGGAACCCACCCGAATCCCGAATTCATGGAAACATTGACCTGGCAGGTGCCTGGTTTGGAATGAAACAGCCCTGGGCTCCGCAGTGGACTCAGTGTTATAAACGTGTGTTTCCATCTCTGAATGCAGAGTAACCATGGCTCTAGAGTTCTCTTCCACTTCCTCACATCTGCTAGTGAGCTCAGCTGTGTGCCGTCTATTAGAGTATTTTGCAAGACTAGCTCGAAGGCCCGAGTGAGTACTGTGGACAGAAAGCTCTGTCTTCCAAAAGCGTTAGTATTCTCTTTCCTTTAATGCTTCACAGTCGAAGCTTTCACTTTCACACGGGCAAAACATTTATGTGATCTCCTCTCATGCTCGACTTACAGGCCACGAGAACTGTCCCACGGATAACGAGGCCCTGTTGGGAGCCGCGCTGCCGGCGCAGTCTGGCTGGCGTTCTGAGAGCTGCCTGCGCTCGGAGCCCAGCCGCACGCCGTCCTGGGCCACAGCCTGGCCTTGATGGCGCAGCAGACGTACACGCTCCTGCTGGTCAGGTGCTGTAGAAGCACTGCGCTCAGTCTTTTGAGGTGAAGAAGCTGCTCCCAGGGAGGTCTTTTTCAAAGGCTTTCCTTCAAGCTGAAGAGTGGTTTCTGTTAGCGCTTTCTACCTGCTGGAACCCGCCGATGCCTGAAAGGGTAATGCTCTTCCCTGGGGTTCACACAGGTCCCTGTGCTGACTCATGACACCCAAGCAGTTCCGGTTCCATTTATAAGCCAGTGCTGCCCTCCTGGGGCGGGCTCGTCCAGAGCCACTGGTGTCCTCTGCTGACCACCTCCCAGGGAGTCTGGATGGAGAGCAGTCTGCCCCAGGGGCAGCTTCTCTGGCGATTGTCCACTGTGGCCACACCTCCAGCGGGTCAGAAGCCAGTCAGCGCCCGAAGTCCCGCCTCTGCAGCTCCCAGCCCAGAGTGCAGAGAAGCTGACCAGATGGGCTCCCTCACTTTCTGACCACCTGTAAGACAGCTTTTGGACTGGTTCGAGCTGGTGCTTTCCGGTGGAGAGGGGGTGTGTCCTGCAGGTGAGGGCGAAGGTTCCTAGAGGCATATCCACGCTAGAGTCGGCTCTGGAATTGAAGTGATCCAGGCGCAGAGGAGTGCGGCTCTCTGATCCTGCTGTGTAAAGTCCGAAATCGGTTTGGTTTCTCTGCTGTTAGAATCAGATTACGGTCTCTGGGGGAAGGGCAGGACGGCCTCCCAGGGTCGTCGCTCGTCTGTCTGCCCTGGGCACCGGCTCGTGCGTTTGTGGGGACTCCTACTTCTCTGAGCACACTGAGCTGTATTGTTATTTCTGTAGCTGTTTCACTGCACTTTTAAGAAATATATCCTAGCAAAATATCAATTCAAA